TGGCCTACAGTTGGCCCCGGGCATCAAAAATCATGCCAGGAATGGAATTCTGGGAACTCGAAGAACACGAAGTGGCCTACAGTTGGCTCCGGGCATTCAAAATCATGCCCAGGAATGAAATTCTGGGAACTCGAAGACCACGAAGTGGCCTACAGTTGGCTCCGGGCATTCAAAATGTGGCCCGGGAATGGAGTTCTGGGAACTCGAAGACCACGAAGTGGCCTCCGGGCATTCAAAATCATGCCCAGGAATGGAGTTCTGGGACCTCGAAGACCACGAAGTGTGTAGCTGTTTGCTTAAAACGACTTCCGCGGATTCTCCCCGGCACCCGTCCGGCATCTGCCCAGCCCCCCCTGAGGAGTCAAGATACTTTCTTTTTAGACCATTAGAAACCTATCAGTCTTCGCTGTTAGGTAAAAACGAAGAGAGGCAGGGGGAGGAGGCATAGGGCAGGCAAATGCAAGGGGGCCGCAAGGTACAGACCACGTACGAGGACCTGGCGGCGCATTGGATGCAGCTGGCCGTGCATGCTCGAGGAGGAGGAGGAGGAGGAGGAGGAGGAGGAGGAGGAGGAGGAGGAGGAGGAGGAGGAGGAGGAGGAGGAGGACAATCGAGTCTGAGGAATGCGAGCTGAATTAGCCAGCAACCGACCTTCGGGCCTTGCCCAAAGCGCTGCCGATGCAAATGCGGCTCCACCGAAACCCCACCCCAGGTAGGGTCAAGGAGGACTCACCAGTTCTTCGACTGAGCCCAAGTTGAGTTCCCCTCCGCCCCCCCTGTTTGTCCTACCCCTTTCCGGCTGCCGGCCCCAGCCGACCCCCAGACGCCAACCTGCAGGCTCGGACTTCCTCGCGCGGCGCACCGCGGCAGGACGAGCCAGGGGAGGGCGGCCACCTGCGCAGCTGCCCTTGGGGTGCCAGCCTCGGCGAAAGCTGTAGGGGGCGGGGGAGGCGTGGAGGGAGAAGGAGGGAGGGAGGGAGGGAGGGGGGTCCCGGGCTCTCAGGGTCTGCCAGCTCTTGGCTGAAACTGCAGGAGAGGGCGCAGAGTGCCACCTACGGTAGTGGTAGTGTCACAGAGTGTGCGTGTCCGCCAGCGGTGTCTTGGCAGGACTTACTCAAGCTGGTGCGTTGAATGCAAGCCTTACTTTGTCCTGCCCGTGCAGGGGAGTCTGAACTTATGATTGTTTCCTCCACCCCCTAGCCCTAGATCCACACCCCCACACATCTTGCACACCGATCCTCATCAATACAGCCGCGCCGACCTGGCGCTGTGCACTTAGAGGGCGGTGTAGGAGGACGCGGGGGGAGTGAAGATGAAAGAGGAAGAGAGGGATCTTCCAGGTTCTTGCCTGGCCAGGTCATGGAGCCTTCACGTTGGCAGTCTGCCTCTCTTTGCCCTGCCTTCGCAGGGAGGTGCCGACGAATTCATCAGAGGGTTGACCTCAGCACCTGCCACGCTTTTGCCTGGCCTGTCCACCGTTAGCCCAGCTTACTTTGAAGACCTCGGACAACTAATCCCTGCGGACGTCTTCAAGGCACGGCCAGCCTGGCCAAGGGTAACTGATATCTAGGGGCTCGCTGCCCGACAATACGAAGGAAACTGGGGAAAATGAATCCCAGCGGGCGTCTCCGATGCACTGCCTGCCTGGCTAGATTCGATAACATGTAAAGGGACATGTATATTGCGGATTCTACCGCACGAGAGGGTCACCGATCAAAGTGCGTGTATACATCAACACCTGCCTGGGTTTCTTCCCAGGCATTCGTACTACTGGTGAATGTTGAAACACTGAAGCACAACAAGTTTGGATACTTCCCACATTCAAAGGTATGAAGGGATTCTTCACTGGGTGTTTCCTGCATTCCAGTCCTACTTGGGGAGGAGGAAGAGGAGGAGGAGGAGGACGAGAATACGGTTCTCTGAAAAGAGGGCAGGATAATGATGAATCAGCGGGAGGAGTAGGAGAAGGAGGAGGAGGAGGAGCCGGAGGAGGAGGAGGAGGAGGAGGAGGAGTTTAGGAGGATGCGAGAGGAGGAGGAGGAGGAGGAGGAGGAGGCGAGGAGGAGGAGGAGGAGCAGGAGAGACGAGGAGGAGGAGGAGGAGTGAGGAATGCAGGGAGGAGTGTCAGGAGGACGACGACCGTCGACCGACGAACGCGACGACGACGGACGACGGACGACGGACGACGGCTGACGACGAACACGACCATCGACGAACGACGTCCGACCGACGACGGCGGCGACCGACCGCCAGTCAGCAGGACTTCGAGCTCTGCGGCCCCTGCGCGGAGAAGGAGCCCCCCCCTGCCGCCTCGGGGGGCGCGGCCGCGGGCGCGCTGGGGCGTCCGAGGGGGCGTCGGCGGCGAGGAGGAGGAGGAGGAGGAGGAGGAGGAGGAGGAGGAGGAGGAGGAGGAGGAGGAGGAGGAGGAAGAGAGGAGGAGGCGACGGAGAAGGAGGGGGAGGAGGAGGACCAGAGTGAACCTGGGATGCATCGACGATGTGCTGACACGCGCTCCCGTCCCCAGCCCTCCCCTCGTAGCTTCAATCCAGCAGACTTCTTCCCACGGTGAGCACTGGCTTGGAAGGCGAGCACCCCAGGGCCCTGCCACTCGGGCGAGAGGCCCGCTTCGACTGCGAAGTCGTAACACGGGCAAGCCTTAACCACAGGAAGCTGTTACGTTTGCCCCCCTCCCCCCCTCACTGTTTCGCTCGCTGGGGAACAAACTCGCTTCATCCTCCTCTTCCTCCTCCTCCTGCCCCTTCTCCTCCTCTCCTCTTTTTTTCTCCTCTTCCTCTTCCTCTTGTTCTTCTTCTTCTTCTTCTTCTTCCTCCTCCTCCTCCTCCTCATCCTTTTCGTCATCCTTCTCCTCTTCCTGTCCTCCTACTGCTGCTGCTGCTCCTCCTCCCCCTCCTGCTCCTTCTCCCCCCTTGTTTCTCTCGGCGGGGAACAAACTCGTCCCCTCCTCCTCCTCCTCCTCCTCCTCCTCCTCCTCCTGTTCCTGCCCCTTCTCCTTATCCTCCTCCTCCTTTTTCTCCTTTTCCTCTTCCTCTTCTTCTTCTTCTTCTTCTTCTTCTTCCTCCTCCTCCTCCTCCTCCTCCTCCTCTTCCTCCACATCCTCCTTCTCCTTCCCCTCTCCTGCTGCTGCTGCTGCTGATCCTCCCCCTCTTGCTCCTTCTCCTCCTGCTGCTCCTCCTCCACCTCCTCCGTGTTCGGCGAGAGCCCTGTTTTGAAAAGGAGCCGCCCTCAATCCGCGTGACATTCGCACGATTTTACCCGTCGGCTCCTACACTCTGAAAGCCACCCGCCCTCCATCAGACGAAGGACGAAGGTGCGCGCTAAGTCGGGGGCAGATTTTGAACACGACCCGTTTTCCATCCGCCTAACTGTCAGGATTTGCAAGCTTCGGGATCATACATGGTGGGGGGTCTCAGGCGAAACGTCCAGACAACCTAACCGACACGCCTGGTGGTGCGACGAGAAGAGGTTACCCATAAGGCAAGGAATGAGGGGGAGGGGGGGAGGCGTGAGGATAGGATCGGATGGAGTGATGGATGGATGGACGGATGGATGGATGGATGGATGAGGGAGATTGTGACGATGACTACCACGATGCTGATGATGACGATGGTGGTGGTGGCCCGGTGTGCATCCGTGTGCCAGCATGAATGTGTATCCTCTTCCTTGCTCGACGTCTGTGGCCATTTTGGCTCAGGCGCTCAGCCGTTTCAGAATGTCGGCTGGGCGCAGGAACTGGCTCTTGGACCTGTGCATTCGACGCCGTGCCGCGGCGGACACGAGGAGGGTACTCTCCCTGGCGCCTGCCATGCCAGCACGCAGGAGGACCATGAAGGAACGGGCGAGAGCGAACGGCAGCGCCCCGTACGACCTTCAGGGGCGGGAGCCAGACCGCCAGGTGGGCAGGGCCTCCTTCCCGCCGAGCTCGGGGGCGGGCGACAAGGATCGGCAGGAGATCTGATAGGGGGCACCTGGCCACAGAGAGCACGGCCAAGGCGAAGTGGACGCTTGTGGCCAGGGAGGCCGACGGCACGGCCAGGTTCGTGGTCACCCACGTTGTCGCGACCAGCCCAGCCAGGTGCCAGCAACGCGAGGGCGGGTGCGGCTTAGTCTCTCGTCCTTCTTCGGGAGCATCAGCTCAGTGGTCGCGCGCGGGCACGTCGCCGAGGCCGTGGGCGGCGAGGTCCCGCGGGCGCTCACTAACGTAATCCCAGACACCGCCAGTACATGTGCGTCAGGCCAGGCCAGGACCCACAGCCTGAAGTTCGGATGGTTCGCCTCAGGTTCGAACAGAAGAAGGAGTCGCCCTCGCAGCAGATCGAGGAAACCGAGCTCGCCATGGAAACGGGGCCCGCGAAGCACAAGGACAGCTCAGTGGTCCCACGCGCCAGCCTGGCGAAGGTGTACGAGGCCATTTCATTTTGAAGGGCGACCGCTCGGGAGCTGCGACGGACTGGTGGTAACCATATCATGCATTTGTGCCCGCGCTGCAAGGCAGCCCCCCTCAAGCTGGAACGGGTGCGCTGTGTGGCACCAGCGCAGCTGGGCGAGCCAGGAGGCACCGCCGCCTGAGGCTGCTGGAGGTGCGTGAACAGGAAATGTGGCCGCAGGTGGTCGGAGAATGGCGCCCCGACGCCCGGGGGCACCGCGAAGTCATCTTCCCGTCGCGCTCCAGCATCGAGGGCGGCATGGGGCTGACCAGCGACGGGGAGGTAAGGCAGATCGGTCAGGCCCAGAAGCGCAGCCTGGAGGACCAAGCGGCTACGGTCTACTTCGGCAGCGGCACTCTGGAGCAAGAGGGCGCCTTAGGTATCTTGGCGCGTCGTCGTAGTTCCCTACCTAGGCTCTGCCTAGAAGGGTTCTTACTCTCTTAGCTTAAAGGGGCCGGGCAGTGCTAAGCGCCCCGGGCGGTTCCCCCAGTCCCCTGGGAGCGGTTCCCCCCAGTCCCCTGGGAGCTTTAGCTTTAGCTTTAGCTTTAGCTTTAGCTTTAGCTTAGCGCTTTCGCTTAGCTTTAGCTTAGCTGTAGCTTAGCTTTAGCTTAGCGTTTCGCTTAGCTTTTCGCTTAGCGTTTAGCTTAGCTTTAGCTTAGCTTTAGCTTAGCTTGAGCTTAGCTGTAGCTTAGCTGTAACTTAGCTGTAGCTTAGCTTTAGCTTAGCTTTAGCTTATCTTTAGCTTGGCTTTAGCTTGGCTGTAGCTTAGCTTTAGCTTTAGCTTAGCTTTAGCTCAGCTTTAGCTTAGCTTTAGCTTAGCTTTAGCTTAGCTACAGCTTAGCTTTAACTTAGCTGGAGCTTAGCTTTAGCTTAGCTTCAGCTTAGCTTCAGCTTAGCTTCAGCTTAGCTTTAGCTTAGCTTTAGCTTAGCTTTAGCTTAGCTTTAGCTTAGCTTTAGCTTAGCTTTAGCTTAGCGTTACTGTTACTACTAATGCTGCTTTCCTAGGGGTTCCAACTCCTAGGTAGGATCGCACTGTTTTTTTTTTTTTTTTTTTCCTACCTAGGTTCTGCCTAGAAGGGTTCTTACTTAGCTTAGCTTTCAGCTTAGCTTTAGCTTTAGCTTTAGCTTTAGCTTTAGCTTAGCTTTAGCTTAGCTTTAGCTTAGCTTTAGCTTAGCTGCAGCTTAGCTTTAGCTTAGCTTTCGCTTAGCTTTTAGCGTTTAGCTTTAGCTTAGCTTTAGCTTAGCTTTAGCTTGGCTTTAGCTTAGCTGTAGCTTAGCTTTAGCTTAGCTGCTGCTCAGCTGTAGCTTAGCTGTAGCTTAGCTGTTGCTCAGCTTTAGCTTAGCTTTAGCTTAGCTTTAGCTTAGCTTTTTTTAGCTTAGCTTTAGCTTAGCTTCTTAGCTTCAGCTTAGCTTTAGCTTAGCTTTAGCTTAGCTTTAGGCTTTAGCTTAGCTTTAGCTTAGCTTTAGCTTAGCTTAAAGAGGCTAAGCGCCCGGGCGGTTCCCCCAGTCCCCTGGCAGCGGTTCCCCCCAGTCCCCTGGGAGCTTTAGCTTTAGCTTTAGCTTTAGCTTTAGCTTAGCGTTTCGCTTAGCTTTAGCTTAGCTGTAGCTTAGCTTTAGCTTAGCGTTTCGCTTAGCTTTTCGCTTAGCGTTTAGCTTAGCTTTAGCTTAGCTTTAGCTTAGCTTGAGCTTAGCTGTAGCTTAGCTTTAGCTTAGCTCTAGCTTAGCTTTAGCTTAGCTTTAGCTTAGCTTTAGCTTTAGCTTAGCTGCTGCTCAGCTTTAGCTTAGCTTTAGCTTAGCTTTAGCTTAGCTTTAGCTTAGCTTTGGCTTAGCTTCAGCTTAGCTTTAGCTTAGCTTTAGTTTAGCTTTAGCTTAGCTGTAGCTTAACTTTAGCTTAGCCGCTGCTCAGCTGTAGCTTAGCTGTAGCTTAGCTTTAGCTCAGCTTTAGCTTAGCTTTAGATTAGCTTTGGCTTAACTTTAGCTTTGCTGTGGCTTAGCTTTAGCTTAGCTTTAGCTTAGCTTTAGCTTAGCTTTAGCTTAGCTTTAGCTTAGCGTTACTGTTGCTACTACTGCTGCTTTCCTAGGGGTTCCAACTCCTAGGTCGGGTCGCACTGGGATAATTTTTCTTCTTCCCCCGAAGGGGTTCATTGAAGATGAGCGTTTGTCGTTATTTGTTGGTCGAGGTGGGTTTGTTGTGCGAGCCACGTCGCGGTTTCGCGATGGCACTCGGTAAGTTTGCAGGAATTCGATGTTCTTCGCTGGTCTCTCTGAGCTGATAGGTTAGATAGGAATGTGGAGGGGGGGGGGGGGGGGCTCCAATTGGCAGTTCGGGCGGCCCAGCGGGCACTCGTTCGACATCGGCGCCGTGGGGGGGGGTCGAATTGGACGCCCCGTGGAAGAAAGAGCTCGGCGCCGTCGCGGGCGCGATCGGCTCCAGCAGCGAGGGGGCCCACAAGAGAGACCCATCAAGCACGCGCCCGCGTTCTCGGAGGAGAGGGTCGCCGCGGGCATGCTCGGGGATCTGCAGGTCCACTCCCGCTGCGCGGACTCGCGCCTCTCCCAGGGCAACTCGTCCATGCCGATGCAGATCGCGACGGGGTGACCAACCCGCGAACGGCCAAGACGGGCAACAAGCAGCGACAGCTCGCGAGACTGCCGGGGGCGAGCGCGCGGGCGCCAGCGGTTGGCCGCGGTGGCCTGGTCGAGCGCCACAGCGAGCTGCTCAGAAAGTCGGCGGGGCTCGACGGGGCGCCCGGGCAGCGGCGGCGGCGGCGCCCCGGGCGGTGGGCCAGGGCGGGGCGCCGCCGTCGCGCAGGAAAGAAGCCGCCGCGCAGCCTAGGGCAGCAGGCTA